GTGTGTGTGTGTGTGTGTGTGTGTGTGTGTGTGTGTGTGTGTGTGTGCGCGCGCGTGATTCCAGTAATTCCACACAGCCAACGGGGATCGGATCTTGTTTCCGATAATGTAACAGACACCATGCTCGACTCCACAGTATCGCTTACGAACTCACGTACACACACACACACACACACACACACACACACTCTTACCTTATCTATCAATGTTTTATCACTTACCGTGTTGCAACTTAAACACAGATCGACACAACCAGGTATTTGACGGTGAGGCGTTCAAGAACTGACAAATGAGAAACTGGCCATCACAAGGCTAAAGATAACAGATGCTCTTAGAGTCCAGCCCAGATATAAGCATTGAAAGGCTCAAGAGGTTAATCTGCTGATTATTCCGACTAGTTGTGTGTGTGTGTGTGTGTGTGTGTGTGTGTGTGTGTGTGTGTGTGTTTTTCTGGTGAGCTGCCCGGCTGAGCGAATGGTAATTATGTAGTAAAACTGCGGCTAATGGCTCAGTACTCTAGTCATGTTTTGACTGACTAGTGCCTTATTTACATGCATTTGGCGCACACACACACACACGGCGTCAGGAGAATGAACTGTATTGGCAGCTTGGTCAGGCAAAGAGGCGCCGCCGGACAGACTGAATGTGTGTGTGTGTGTGTGTGTTTTCATGCACATAAATCACTTTTTAACTAAAGAGCTCTGAATTGACACACACACACACGCACTGCTCTAAATAAGAAAAGCTGAGACAGGTCATCCGAGCCAATCACCTTTCAGGAAGCAGAGGTCAGCCAAAAGCTCAACTAATGACCTAATGGTGAAAATTACCTTCACCGACCTGAGTCTGGCCTTCCATGACTACAGCTACACACACACACACACATGCTCACACACACACACCTCCTGTCCCTTTTGTCAATACTGTTTTGAACAAAACCTCTCTGCCCCGCCATGCCTCTCTCCTCTGCTCTCCAAACATCTCTTTCTCCTCTTCCTGTCTTTTCTCTCTCTCTCTCTCTCTCTCTCTCTCTCTCTCTCTCTCTCTCTCT